CTAGGGCTTGGAAAAAACTGCAAAATTTCAAAAAACTGGTTTTCGGTTTTTTAAAATTGTAATACGGTTTTACACTGGTTTTGCGAATTTTTATTATTGCTGTCTAAAGCAAATGTAACTAACAGGATATACTGGAATTAGATCTGTAAACTAAAATTAAGTTTTTCATACTTATTATAAAAAGTTTAATTTTTTTCATTAATTATTAAAAATTAATTTTTATCAATGTACAGTAATATTTACATTTTTTTTATTCATTAATAATTTAGTTTTAATCTTTTTTTTTTTTAATCCTTCTTTTTAGTGGCAACTCTATATCCTTTTCTTTTTTTTAACACTATTCATAACTGAATATACCACTTTTTATCAGTGTAATGTAAAAATATACTACATTTTATAATATTTAAATTAATACAAAAATCAAAAATACAAAAAACAATTTTGTTGACGAAAAATTTGTTTTTGTTGTTTAACTATTTTTTTTTTTCAGTTTACAATGATAGTCGTGATACATAATAACATATAAGACTTTTTAAAAATAAACAATTCAGTGTACTAATAATATAAAGCTAGGTTTTGAAAAGAAGATCATAAGGATCTTATCATCAGAACCTTAAAAGTTAAATGTATTTATTTTTAATATATAGATTTATTGAATATTTAACATAATGCAAAGATACAACATAGAAACATTTTACATACGTTTTTAGTAGAATTTTAAAATGCTGTCTATAGAGAAAACATTTTTAAATTTATTTTTAAAAACAGAAAGTGTAAAAAAAGGATCAAAATTTGGTAATACTATTTTATTTCAAAGATGAGGTGCAAGATTTTGAGATTTAACAATCTCAAATTAAAATAATTAAACAACAATAACAAAAAAATAAATAACAAAAATAAAACAACAAATGAAAATATCAAAAAGTTAACAAATACTTTAAGTTAGTGTTACTTGACTTTCCTGGATTGTTTTAAGTATTTTTAAATTCAAATATTATTAAGTTTCTGTCATTATGTAATTTATTAATAATTGGTAAAAAAAAAATTGAAATAAATAAAACTAAATGCAATATCAAAGTGCTTTTTTTAAAACTTTATATATTTTCACGTCTTTGAACTATTTATCTATTAAGTAATATATAATAACAACCGTTTTTTTTTAGAGAAAAAAAAGAGTTTTTTTAGTTTTTAAGAAAACTGAACAAAAAATTGGTTAACCCATTGCGGTTTCCACCGGTTGTCAAGCCCTAGATCAGACCCATGATTTAACGATGGAATGTTAGACTTAATTTAGTTAATGACATTGTTGAAGATTTTCCAAAAATCTCTAAAACCTAAGATCTGAGATAAGATACAAGATTTAGTTATAAAAGCTTTATAAAAGCTTTATATCTGCTTGAATCCAGGAGGTTAGGTAAAAAGCTCATTTATGCATACATAATATGAATATATATGGATTTAAACATATATGTATGCTATTTATTTAGATGCTAGCATACAATATTCTTACATATTTATATATACTTTAGTATTATTAAAGCCAAAAAAAGAAAATGATGATTAGATGGACGTGTGATATGACTCTAACAAGACAATCAAAGGAATTTTTTGTATCCAATGTTTATATCCAATCAAAAATTCTATCAAACAACATTTATCAGAAAAGATTAAAGTGAAAAAATGTAGTTTAGAAGACCGGAAAAAGTTTAAAATTGATAGGTTGAAAAATCAATAAAATTTAACTAGGGCATTTCCATTTCTGTGCGTGATTTTTTATTTTTCTTTGTTTTAGCAATTAAAAGCTGGGACTTTATGCAATATGCATACTATTTTGATTTTCTTAAAGAACAATTATAACAAAAATATTGTTATCATATTTTAGACTATCTGAATAAATTAAATATACACATTTTTACAATTTTATTTTTTTGAGTAATAATATCGCTAGATTTTAAAAAATATACAATTACTTTCAAAACGCAATACTCTAGCTAGAAATAATTGATGACTGCCATTTCTCATCAAAAATATATTAAATAAGAGTCATAGAAGTATAATATTTCACTTGAAATACTCACAAGCAATTTATTTTCATAAAAATATCTACATGAAATTAACAAATTCGCAACATCCGTGCATGACTTCTGTGTGTGATCATTCATAAACTGCATTTAAACGATTGCTGTGACTCTATGATTTATAGTGCAATCCTGTAACTTTCTGGAAATCTTTACTGATTTTAAAATATTATTTAAAAAAAATGTATACTGGTGAAACTTATATTTTCCGAGGAATTAAAGTTTGTTTATCTAGTAACTAAAATAGAAGTTTTTCTGTTCCGTGCGTGATTCCATTTCAAACTTTATTTATTTTTTGTTAACATTACTAATGCTTACTATTTTTTGTTTACAAAATATTTATATTGATTAGAATTAAATGAGAGTAAATTAGAGATTGCTAGTTTCATTTTTATGAAAATAAAAGTAAAAACATATACGAATTTCCGTGCGTTATTTTTTGGAAAAGCCCAATATATATATATATATATATATATATATATATATATATATATATATATATATATATAAAATATATATATATATAAAGTATATATATATATGTATATATATATATATATATATATATATATATATATATATATATATATATATATATATATATATATATATATATATATATATATATATATATATTGTATAAGGGTAACCTGGGTTAGTTGAAACATTGAACTTTTGCACCATTTAACAAGTAATTAAGGTTTCATGAACTAAAATACATTATATTTGTTTTTGAATTAAAAAATAGTACAAAAACTAAGTTGTTGCTCAAAATTTTAGAGAACACATGAAAGTAAATTTTTGCGATTTTTGAATTATTAATTGTAATCTTGTATTATAGAAGATAATAAACTAGTTTAGTAACATCTTTTTTTAATGTGCTTTAAACTAGTTTAGTAACATTTTTTTAATGTGCTTTTTTGTAGAGTTTTGTGCATGGGGTGCCTTAATTAAATTGTTTAAGAATGCAATGGTTAAATGGGGATTTGTTGGAACCTTGTGATTAGGGTTTTTTTTTATTTCATCAATTATATTCCTTCTATTATTGTTCATAGATTATTTTTGCTTATATTTATTACTTAACTCTTACTACCATATGTCCTTGACAGCGGCTTGTTTTTTATTATTTTAAACACAAGCTATTGGTTGCAGTTTTTTAATAACAATTGAATCAAAAAAAAGTGCCAGAAAAAAAAGTACTCACAAAAATTATACCTAAAAAGTTCTAAAAAGTAAAAAACCTGTAAAAGATATGGCTATTAAAAAAAAGGTGAGACAAAAAAATCTAAAAACTGTAAAAAGTCTGCATTAGCCAATAATAGCGAGCAAGCAGCATGTGTATACTGCAGAAAACTGTTTGGTGAGTTTAATTTGGGAGAAATGTGGCTTATGTGCTCTGTTGTTGCCTTCGGACTTACGAGGCATGCTCAAGTACAGATTCACGATAAATTTATTTAAAATAAATTTTACGATAATTTAAAATAACATTTACGATAAATTCCTTTAACTATTGGCCAAATATCTTGCGCTCTTTAGGACGATTTGAGGATTAGGACGGTTTGAGGATACTTACGATATATATATATATATATATATAATATATATATATATATATATATATATATATATAGATACTTACTTATATATATATATATATATATATATATATATATATATATATATATATATATATATATATATATATATATATATATATATATATATATATATATATATATATATATAGATACTTACTTTAGGACGATTTGAGGATACTTACGAGGCATGCTCAAGTACAGATTCATATACCTCCAAATTCATCTTTGATTTTTTGCTGACGACTTAGGTGGTGAGGTGTAATAGTTGAAACATAATTCTCTTTCTTGATTTTTTTTTTATAACAAAAGTATTAAATTTCACAAGCTTAAAAATCAATGTTAGGTTATATATATATATATATATATATATATATATATATATAATATATATATATATATATATATATATATATATATATATATATATATATATATATATATGTATATATATATATATGTATATATATATATATATATATATATATATATATATATATATATATATATATATGTATATATATATATATGTATATATATATGTATATATATATATATATATATATATATATATATATATATATATATAAATATATATATATATATATATATATATATATATATATATATATATATATATATATATATATATGTATATATATATGTATATATATATATGGCATAAATATATATATATATAAATATATATATATATATATATATATATATATGTATATATATATATATATATATATATATATATATATATATATATATATATGTATATATATATATATATATATATGTATATATATATATATGTATATATGTATGGCATAAATATATATATATATAAATATATGTATATATATATATATATATATATATATATATATATGTGTATATATATATATATATATATATATATATATATATATATATATATATATATATATATATATATATATATATATATATATATATATATATATATATATATATATATATATATATATATATATATATATAACGTAACATTGACTTTTAAGCTTGTGAAATTTAATACTTTTGTTAAAAAAAAAAAATCAAGAAAGAGAACAAATTACATACGCACTTGCTGTCTTTAACACCCACTCTACCTTGTATGGCTTTGTTCAAAGTAAATATAACCAAAGTATCTTTGGTTATATTTACTTTGAACAAAATGTTTTTGAAATTTATTGACTAAAAGAAATAGTTGATTTAACATTTTATAAACATAGTTTGTGATGAAATGTAAAATTTTAAGTTTATTTTTAAGTTATTATTTTCTTTGGTGCTACTTTAGAATTTATCTTGGGCGTTTGGTATAAATAAAAATATACCAGCAATCAATTTATCATCCGATAATAAAAAGGTGAGCATTATAAATAAATTATATTTTTTGTTGAATTATTAATTAGTACATTAATGCATTTAAAAAATATTTATCATAACAAAGTTTTTGAGTTTAAAAATAATTGTAAATTTCATTTTTCATTTATTTATTATGAAAGTATACACTTTATACATTGATTTGTTTAGAATAATGTGTATAGTGATTTAGTTTATGAAAAATTTATATTTTGAGATAGTTAGGAAACTAATTTTCATTTTTAAACCTTAAAATTGAGCATAGAATAATTTTTTAGATTATATTTTATGCAGTTGCCCACACAGGTATCTTGTATGACCTGGTTCATAATGTGCAAGTTTTATATCAGGGACATGTAAGTTTTTTTTATAAACTTTTGTTATTGTTTATTTATATTTTCTGAGAGTCTTTAATATTTTTAAAAAATTGAAAAGTTAAAAAGTCATTTAAATAGGATTTTTTAATCTTTAAATCAAATTAGGAATATATTGCAGAATAAGAGTTTTTTTGTATATCTTGTTTGATTATTTATTAAAGGTATCAATATCAAATGCAAATTGAAGTTTTTATAGTAAAAGCTTGATAATCTCATTAAGTAGATTGTCAATAACTTCTTTTAGATTTTAAATCTTTTTTTAGAGGTTAAATTGACTTAGCTTTTGTATTGATAGATTTATCCTATAATATTTTAATATCGAATTTAATGGTGTTGCTGCAATTACTCATTTATTTGTGTTTGCACAAAACTCTCAACAACCATTACATCTGAATTATTGGGAAGAAAGAGACACAGCACTTTTTGTATAAGAAAATGTGAACAAAAGTGTGTGCAAATATCTAACTTATGTAAACTTCAAATTATGTAATGTTATATCAAGTTTTATATAAAATTTTTACAGTTTTACTTTCACTTTAAAATTGCATTTTGGCAACATCTCCTTATTTTTATTTATAGCATTTATTTGCCATTTTGACAAGTCTTTTTATTAAAAAGTGGTTAGGGTTTGCAGCATTTTGAAGTGAAATGCTGTGGTTCAAATCCCTGCTGTTCTACATTTTGTTATTATTATTATTTTTTTCCATTTTTTTATTTATTTTTTAAAATAAAACATTTTTGAAGTTCCATAAGTATTTTTACTTTTATAAAGTTTTACTTTTATTTAAAAATTGCATTGTGGCAAAATCTCCTTAATTTTGATTTGAAGCATTTATTTTCCGTTTTATAAAGTTATTTTGTCTTTTGTTTATTAAATAGTGTTAAAAATTGGCAGATTAATGTGTGTTAGTGGTTTAATTTGCTTGCTTCTAATATACAACACGAGGGTTCAAATCCTGTAACTTACACTTTTTTTTTATACGTATCTTTTCCAATTTTCTTAAATGCAAAATAAAACATTTTTAAAGTTGTATTGATGTTATATACATAATATATTATAAAAATATTATATAACATAACAAATATAATAAAAATATTATATACTATAACAAATAAAAGGGAGAGAATATTTAAAAAAGCCTTAAAGTTTAATAAACATTAAAAAAGTGGTAGAAGTTTTTTTTCACGTATGTCACAATAGAGATATTTAATGTGCTTAGTTAATTAGTTAAGTCTGTACTCAACACACATTAAAGATACATCTTTTTTTTTTTTTTTTTAGGATATAAGAATTTACATCCAAACTTTTATTTTCTTCAAAAATAATTAATGGCGTGAGGGTCCTAATAAGCTCTGGATGGCCTGAAAAAGAAAATTTAATAAAAACCTAATAGAAACTTTATAAAGAAAAAAAATTTTAAAGTCACTACTTGTTTTTTTTTTTATAGAAGTTTAAATTTTACAATAAGAAGTTATTAAGTATTTAACATTAATCGTTAATTAAGTTATTAAGTATTTAACATTAATCGTTAACTCAAAACAAAGATTTAATTTTTATTTTCTATCACTTACTAAAAAATACTGAAATAAAACGACTATATAAAAATGATTGATGTGGAATATTATATTTATCATATGGGTATTATTAGTTTATTTTAATTATGAACTTACCATGGCCCGTATTATAAGTGTCATGGTAAGTTCATTATTCCACACATTTTTAAAAATCTAATTCTGATTATTTTTTATACTTTTTAAACAAATTGTAGTTAATCAACACATTTCAAACAGGTATTCTAAATATTATTTGAATACCTGCTTTGGGTACTAATACTGCGCAACAACTACTAAAACATTTTAAGGTTAATTATGATATAAATTACTTTTTTACTCATAACTTTAAAAGGTAGACAATATGTATAGTTTTTCTACCGCCTATTAAAAAATATTGAAGTATGGAATAGGAATAGAAATGTTTAGTGTAGAATAGACTTACCAAGACCCTTATCTTACAGGTCCGAACAGCTAGCTATTTTTATTGTGTTTTGAAAGTTTTATATTATTTTTTTCTGACATTATAAAAATAAACCTTGTGATAAAAGCAATTATAATTATTTGGTTTTTAAATCTGATGCAGAAATTTTATTTGATATTGTTAGAGCATGTTGTTTAGATTAACTGAGAAAATTTTGAAATGCCAGAAACAAAATCACATAAACATAAGTTATCAAAACAACAGTTTTTTATCATATTTATTTTAGTCAAAGTCAGATATTAAAAAACATTTTAAAAATCTAAGCATAGCAATATAGTTAAATGTTTCTTTAAATAACTACTAACATACAAGGTAACATAGTAACAAAATAACTATCCACTATCAAACAGAGTAAAAGAAGGTAATTTAGTAATAAAATAAATATCCACTATCAAACAGAGTAAAAAAAGTGAAATAACTATTAAATCAAAAATTTAAAATGATAATCTATAAAAATAAAATACATAAGTTTAAAAATGTTCAGCAAAGATTTATAATTTTTTTTTTTGTAAATGTTTATATGAATGTGCAAAGACATTAAACAAATCATTATTACTTTATCTTTTTTTGCAAAAACATAAAACTTGAACAACATTTTAAAAAACTTAATACATTTATACTTTTAAAGTGAGTTGTATAGCTATGAGAACTAGAAAAAGGGAGAGGTTTCCTAGCCCTCAGCCAAAAACACAGGTTAAAAGAACGAAAAATTACAGCAAAAGAAAAAGATTTCTGGTTGGAAACACCCTAGAGAGGATGGAGAGGAACTAGATTCCTTTGAGAAAACACATCATGCAACATTATCTTTACCTCCGTGATATGTATACAAAGAAACCAATTAAAGAGTTGGTGTCTTGCCCTCTTCAAACAAAACTTTTAGGTTTGTTTTATATTGTTTTGCGTGTGTATCAATCCCGCAATTTGTTGTCAAATGGATACAGAATGTGAATTATTAAATTATATCCACAAAAATTTACTCAAACACATTTGTTCCCTTTTTAATGTAGTTGGACAAAGATTGTTATTTTAACAAATTTTTTCTAGATTATCTTGCGTTGAAAATGGTGCTAACTGAGTTTTGATGTCTCCTTTCTGGAATCTTTGTTCCTTGAAAAAGAACAGGATTTCCAGTTCTGACTGTCCATTATCTAAGTGACAGTGTTAATCAGTTTGTGGAAAAATACATTAACCTGAGTAAACCTGAGAAGAAAGTTGGAATTGGAATTGGTATAGGCATCAGTCCTCACCAAGCAAATGCTTTAATAACTTCTGTTATAGAGCAGTCTGGTAGAGATATAGACAAAGTAACATTATCTAAGACTTCTGGACAAAGAATCTCAGACAAGATTATACACAAGGATGCTGCTGAACTCAGAGCTAACCTAAAAAAGAAAGTGAAGGATGCGGATATGCCAATTAATGTTCATTTTGACAGTAAAATTATCAAGGATTACATAGGCTCAACAAATGAGACTATAGATAGACTCTATGTTCTTATAAAGCATGAAGGAGAGAAATATCTCCTTGATGTTCTAAGATTAGCTCATGGGACTGGCAAGGCTCAGTTTGAAACAATTCAGATTCTAATGATATTGGTGAGTGGATATGTGGAATATGTTTTGACACTACAGCTTCAAATACTGGACGCCTCAGAGGAGCATGCATGAGGTTGGCTCACTTTCATGACCAACCATTGCTTATGTTGGCATGCATAGGGTTAGGACTATTGTGATTGTAATGAAAACAATAACAGTAACAATAACTATTGTTATTGTATTAACTTAATTTAGAAACAATAACAATACTTGTGATTTACAACTATTGTAATACTGTAATACAATAACAATAAATATTGTATTGCAATTTATCTTTATAAAACAATAACAATATCTGAAAAAAAATCGTAATGACCCACTACAATAACAATAAATATTGTATTGTAATTCGTCTTTATAATACAATAACAATATATTGTTATTGTAATGAAAAAAATTATCAAAATTTAAATAAATGTTTTAACAGTCCAGTTTCTGAAATAAGTGACCTTGAAATAGGTACAACTAATATATAAATATTGGTTCTGTTTCTTTTTTATTTTATAAACTCTGTATAGCTCTATAAAAGTGAGTTTAATCGGACCTGTATTTCTTTTACTGCTGGGGATAGACCTGATTAACTACTACCATTTCTTCTACTAAGTTATTTACTTTTACATTAGGCACCTATCCAATTGTTTCGAAACTTACTCAACTCACACTTACTCTAATATAACTTTGTCTTTTGTTTCCCTTCCGCTTTATGGATATATGTATTTCATAAAGTAACTGGACATCTAGTTGCAAAGTTATAAAAGAGTTTTGTTACATAAATCAAGAATAATATTTATTTGGTGTTCTAAACTGCCTCATTTTTCAAAATGGAATCAACACAAAATTTACTGGTACGGTCTGATAGGTGATGAACAATCTGAAAATGTAAAAAAAATTTTAACAAAACAAAAGTAGTTCACAATCTAATCGATAATTACCCAGGTCAAATGTTCTTTGATTCCATAACGATGTAATTGATTACACATTAGCGGTTAGATATATTGAAAAAAAAAGCGCTTAATGTAGTTAATCAATTAGTTTAGACGTCATCATCCTGTGAAACATGTCAATATCAGTTTAGACAAAATTATAAAAAAATATCAAATTTAACTTCTTAAAGTAAATAATTATTTAATTACAAGCATTTGATAAATTATATATTTGTATGATTTTGAATGAATATTATTAATGTTAATTCTAAATAAATTATTATTTAAACAGTTGTATTATTGAATTCAAAATAAATAAAATTTATATATGTAAATGGTTGCTAGAAATGGGTGCCACGTGCACCCCTGAACCAAATATTTATTAAGTATACGTAGTGTATATACTTCTTTAGCTTCCCTGGCTTCACTTCACTTCTAAAAATAAATAAAATTTGCATATATAAATGACTGCTTAAAATGAGCGTCACGGGCACCCCTAAATTATCTAGTGCCCAAATAATAATAAATGCGTAAAAAAGAGTCTAAATACTATAAAATACAATAGCTATTCGACTTTGAAATAGTAATACAATACATCAATGTACTTATTGTAATTTTTTTTATCCCAGCAATACAATACAATAGTTATTGTAATTGTTTTACATCACAGCAATACAATACAATAGTTAATGTAATTGTTTTACATCACAGCAGTACAATACAATAGTTTTAGAGCTTCAATGTATTGTTAGATAAAAAAACAATACAATAGTTATTGTAACTGTTTTTATTCACAGCAATACCATAACCATAAATAATGTTTTAATTGCATCTCTGGTATTGCAATACAATATTATTGTATTGTAATTGTTATTGTATTTAATTTTTACAATAACAATAACAATAGTCCTAACCCTAGGCATGCAGACACCATGTTGGAAAAGTGTACCTATCCCACTTCAATTCCAAAGTTGCTGGTAAAAGAATCGTTGGGCCAGAAAACCAACTGTTCATGTCTTTAAAAAATAGTGGCTTGAAGTTGGAGCAGATCAGGTTGACACCCTTTCAAGATTTGATTACAATGATATTTGTGGAGAATGGCTAGAGAGACAGGCCATACTTGCATTAGATGTCTGCAAAAGCTTGAAGAACAAAAATATTCTGAGTTATGTTAAGGTAAATTTAATTTTTTTTGGTGAGATTTAAACAAATCAATATGCAAACATTTTTTAAAATTTAAAAACATATAGGTTATATTATTTTCAGACATTTGAAAAGAGAGGGGACTATTTTGAGTTAGCAGAGTTGGTCATAATGTATCTAGATCGGGTATGTGAGCCCGCTCTGTGCAAGTTTTACAAGCCTGGAGCCATATCCCGTGCTAGGTTCATGGGGAAAGCCCTTTATTACATGAAGTTTCAGCTTCTTTTTTTCAAGATGCAACAGGTTATTGAAATCAATAATGATCTTATCAAAGAGATTAAGAGAATGGCAGACTTTATTGCCTTCGTTTACACTTCCTAGTTCCTTACTTGTGAGTTTCCAGACCTGCTTCAGTCAAGGTAAAGTAGAAAAAATATAATAAAAAAATAATTAATTGTTTCATTGTGTAGTATGTAATACTTGCTTTACAAAAATAGTAAAAGAAATAATGAAAGTGCTTTTTATTTATGTTTGTATTGCACAAGCTTGATTTAAGGTAAAAATAATACTTGAATTATTTTTATTTAGGATCAGTTCAGCTATTTACAAATGTGCCACTATGCTCAGATTGAACCTGCTGCTGAGTCAGTATTAAAATCATGGAGAAACCACACTTGGTATCTAGACCCTTTCTTGGTAGTAATTCTCTTGACTTCCAAGGACAGTAATAACTTTGTGCAAATGGAGGAGATGATCAAGGTTCTGTTTGTCACAGATAGAAACCCACTTGGAAGAGATAGAGTAAGGGTTGAAATGATCTGAAGGAGAATGAGAAACCTCCCTCATTAACAAATTTCATCAAGAAAGTGAGTTGGACTCTGTTTGACATTCTAGGCCTTACCATGGAGCAGTGTATTTGGATGGAACTATCCCATCAGTTTTGATATAAGTTTCCCAGATACAACAAGTTCCAGGAGTTTGTGAAATCCATTAATGTTGTTAATGATTGCTCTGAGTGGGCTGTCAAGCTCATCCAACAGAATATGGAGAAAGCCAAGAATGAAGACAAACTGCACAATCTCCTCCAGGTCAAGAATGCTTAGAAGAAGGCAGTTTGCAGAACCAAAGTGTCATACAAAAAAACTAATTCCGTGCCTCCAGCTCTAAAATCCTCTAATAGTAAAGATATTGAAGTTTCTGTTCTATAGAACTGTTTTGCTCTGTGTATATCACTGATTTTTTTAAAGTTATTTTTTTTTTGAAAATAACTTTAAAAAAGGTCTTAATCCATTATATATTTTATTTTATTACCTGTTCTGAAGGAAAGCGAAAATAAAAAAAATCCATTCACAAAAAAAGTTCCATGCTATAACTTAGCGGACACATTAGTAATACTTGGGGATATTTCTCATAATTTTAATGTTAATATGTCATAACATAGACCTTCATAAACATTTAAAATTGACAACGAACAATATTGGATAATATTTACTATTCCCACCAATAAGCCAAAAATGGGTAAAAACAGACCAATTTCTAGGTAATATATTTTTTTAAGTGACTGGCAGGAAAAGTAAATATTACCAAATAAATTGAAAAATAAAATTTATTAATAAAAGTGACCTTAGAGACACTGATTAGCTACTGTGTGTCACAAATTTTCACTATGACAAAAAAATGGCCCAGGCTAATATATAGGGGAGAGTTGCCGAAATTGGAATAGTACCTTAATTAGAACACTTGCATTTATTTAAAAAAAAAAATGAATTATGGCTATAATTTGCATTTTTTTAGTAAAACGCATTATTGTCTACATTTTGACACATTTTGAAAGTTATTCCTCAAATAATGCGTTTGCATGATTGATTTAAAGTTTTTTTGCGTCATTTTTTTTCATCGATCTAATTTTGTGTTCACACTATATTGATAGTGCTGGGTAAAGTATGGTGGTACAGTTTTTACCGTTTTTTGTGTTTAATTCAAAGGGATTTAAAATGTGAATTAACTATATAAACTTATCTTATAAGTTGCTGCAGGCATGTTATTGTAGTGATATAACAATATAGTCGAAAAATTGCTTGATTGGAACATTGAAGTTTTCCTTACCTAATCAGTAATAAAATCAAAGGGTTGTAAAAGCAGTTCGAGCGCAGTTAAAAAATTACTTAGTTACATCCATAAACCTTAAAACCTAAACTTTATTTAGTGATTTTTAATCAATAAATTTAGAGAACGTCGTAACAGTTGATGATTTATACAATTTTTTGTTTGTAGACTTTAAATTTATCATGGTAATACTAATCCTATAATAAGTTTTGAGTTAACTGTTTAAATTTTCATTGTAAAGATGAAAATCATTTTTTACAAATTTTTGTTGATTTTACTGGATTTTTTCTTCTAAAAAATAACCTGTTCTGAACCAGTTGTCTTGATTGGAACAAAATGGTAACTTTGTAAAAACAAATTTATTTCCAATAACAGTGCAATCAATTAAGTCAAATTGTGGTTAAAAGTATAGTAGGGATGTCTGTTTGTATTAATCAAATCATAAATGTTTTCATAGTTAAGCCATCTTTGGGTAGTAAATATTTATTCCTTAAGTGTTCCAATTAAGGCAGCTCTCCCCTATATATATATATATATATATATATATATATATATATATATATATATATATATATATATATATATATATATATATATATATATATTTAAAATATTTAGTAAAAAAAATTTTCCTGGTTTTTCTTCTATTTTTGTTAAGGATAAGAATAACTCCATTTTAGCAACACTTGATTGGTTTACCAACAACCTTATTTTTGCAGAAAGAATTGGTAGCTGATGGTAACAAGTAATTTAAACATCTGTAACAAGAAATTTAAACACAGTGTACAAAGGAATTTTTATAGAAAGGTTTCTTTATAGGATATCCAGAAACATTTTACCATCACTCTACCGGTTAAAAAAATTCATTGCATATATAAAAGAGCAACTTCATTGATAACAATACTTTACAGTATATGTCATATCTATATCTGAGTCATACCAGAATTCAAATGCCTACAAACATCTACAACGGTTACAATTATTAGTGTTAACTGACAATTCAATTACATGTTTGTTGTTTAAAAAGACACAGCTTTTAAATAAGCATAAAAATATGCATTTAAAAAAGTATAACTGTCACTTGTTGCGCCACTCATTTTGCCGGCAAACTATTTGTTCAATATATTGTCTTGGAAGGGGTCTTCCATAAAGTATATATGCAGGAATGGGGAGGGGGAGTTACCCAAAAATGTACAAAGCCATACAAGGTAGAGTGGGTGTTAAAGACAGCAAGTATGTATGTAGTTTGTTCTCTATCTTGATTTTTTTTTTTACAAAAGTATTAAATTTCACAAGCTTAAAAATCAATGTTACGTTATTTAACAGAGAAATGTTGAATTAACTTTAAAATCTTGACAAGCTATACAGCTGTACACAAACCTCTATAAACTACTGTACATAAAAGATAACTCTTAGTGCGAGGGTACTAAATTTCAATCCAAATGCATTAAACTTAATCTGTCTGATTTTGTGTGTAACACATGGACAAAACCTATTACAAGTTTTCATTTTTTTTAAAGATACTTTTAAATAATAATAAGAACTCAAGGTTCTATGGTGTATTAGATATTTTTCTTCTGTTTTATATATGTTTGTCAGAATTCAATTTAAAAAAATAAAAGATTTTTTCAATTTATGAATATATTTTATTGTTTAGCAAAACTCAATTAGTGCCATATGTGTTAGTGTTGATAAAAAATGGCTTGTTACAGCAGATATTGGTCCTAATAGCTTGCTTATTGTTTGGGACACTTTTAAGAGGTAAACTTTCTGCCTTTGTGTACTTTTTTTTTAAGCTATATTTTCAATTAAAGTAAAAGTCTCCAATTTAATTTGACTTTAAATTTATATTTTATTATTCAGATTTACTTCCTAACTTAAATATACCAAAGATACTAAAAATTGGCTGATAACTTGACAGTTAAAATCATCAATTTATTTTATGGAATGACTTTTTTTATGGAATGGGTTTTTAATTTTATTAAATTTAGACATTAAGTATGTTTTGTATAGAAAAAAAAAGATGTATACTGAGCATAAGATATATAAGTATATAAACCAAAAGTATTTTGAAGTTTTTTGTACTTTTAATACATATTTTTAATTTAAAACTCATTACAAAAACTGTCTGTGGACATTTTTGTCTATAAATTTAAACTCTAAAATTATATCACATGAAGAAAAAGTAACAAATATCAGTTTGCTTTTATTTTTTAATTTAAAAAAATAATCTGAAATAGATCTTAAAAATATTATAAAAACAAAAACGCTATTGTAATTTTGTTTAACAATAATTGATCTCAAACTAAGTTTGATCTTTGAACCAAAACCAAAGTGTTTTGTAAAAATCAAACACTTAGGTTTTGTTTTTACATTACTAAAATATATTTTATATTTTAGTGATGCAAAAATTGTATTGTATTTTATGTATAAGCATGACGCAGACATATGTAGTAGCTATGTTGCGGGCCACAGACTATTAGCTATGTAGCTGGCTATGTAGTAACTATGAACAGGATATGTAGTAGCTACATAACAGGTTATGTAGTAGCATGTTGTATAATAGCTATGTAGTCGATGGGTAACTTGTGGGTTATGTAATACTTATAAAACTTTTATGCAGACATTAGTGTCTAAGATACATATAAGATATACATAAATAATTTATACTTTGTATAAAATATGAGTTATATATTATATATCTTTTACTCTGTGTATACTGTATAATTATAGTGTTTTTTTTTAATTTTTTTAAGTTTCTTTTTCAAAGAACTTTTTTAATTTTAGAATCCCTGTAAGAACAATATTTAATGTGGATACTGGTGGTGTTTCCTTTTGTGTTATATCTTCTGATGCCAAATACATTGCTGTTCTTAGTTCCTCTGAGCCCCAGGTGTTTAAAATTGTTCAAGTAATTTACCTGTATTGTTGAAGTGTAAAACTCTATTTTTTGGAACTAACATAATATATTTTAATCCTACTATTATTTTTTAGAAATTAACAATATGGTCATGGACAACTGAATCACAAGTACCAATTGTTACAGTTTGTTTATCAGAAAATTCAAACTCAGCAACATCCGAGTTAATGGTAAGAAAAATAAATTGCAAGGATTTTTTAATAAAAAAAAATTACTTAAAATGCATTATTATTTTGTATGACACTATTTTTTTAAATAAATTTATTATAAGAGTTAAATTTAAGATTTTAAAGTGAATACTCATTATTGTTTTTCTATTGGGGGTAAAAGGTGAGTTTACTTTTTGGTTGATGAAGAATAAGAGGTTAGGTTGTTTCTTACCAATCCAAACACTTTGGAAATGATCATTTAATTGGTTTGCTAATGTCTCAGAGATCGGGGTGGTGAATAGTCCTTTATCTGCTGGCCTGATTTCTTTCAAGAAGTATCTTTTTCCAGAAGATTCCATTGCCTGTTATAGATTCATTTTCCTTTGATAATTAGTTTACTGACTCAATTGGAAGTTCTTTCCACTCGTTGTAGTGCCTAGAGGGAAAAAGTTGTTGATGGTGTTTTATAAGGGTTTGAATTAATGGTGTCATCCAAGGCTTGAGGTTAACAAGCATTATTGCTCTTAAAGGTTGGCAGATGTCTTGAGTAGAGAGTATAGAATAATAAAAATTGTTGCAAGCAGTTTGTATTCAATACAGTGAGTCAAATAAGGTTTCAATATCGGTACATTGTATCAGCGCAACTGTCAGCAATTCTACCTGGCCAGTAAACATCCTTGCGAGTAACTGGGCAAGTATTTTTATAAATATTTAGAGGAGGTTGACTAACTACATTTAAGTGATCTGAATTGCCAAAGCAAGGAGGGTATTGGGCACAGCATTTAGGAGCATTACTTAAGATGATGTCTGAAGAATAGCTGATTTTCTGGCAAGATGTGCATTAAGGTGAATGAGTTGGTGAGAGCAAGAAATAAATTTAGTAGGGGAGCCATTTAGATCCCCTGCAAAAATTATTAGTGGTTTGTTGCCCAATGCGCAGCGAGTTATGGCTGACTCAATAAGTTGTGTGAGTTGATAAGATGCATTGCGCTGCTCATCTTGAGACCATACTGGAACATATGCACATATTACTAGACAGTAGGAGTGTCCACAAGGGTCGGTATTTTAGGTATACAAGAGTAATTGTTAGTTTAATTTTTGTTTAGACACTAAGTTAGATTCATGGTTGGTTATTAATTTTTTATTTTACTTTATTTATTCTATTTTATCTGAGTATTTTTTTTGTGTGAATATAATAGTACCACCACCTATGCAATCCTGACGTTCAGTGCTTATGTAAATGTAATTACTATTAATTTGGGAAAGAATAGTTTGTTTACCACTAGAGTTTATCCAAGTTTTGGTTAGACAGGCAATTTCAGTGATAGAATTTGTAAAAAATTGATTAAAATCTTAATTTTGTTACAGAGTGAGCACATATTAGTTGTGCAGATGGTTGGTAAGCGAGTGGTGTTGATACTAGAGCAAATTAGTTAGCATGGAGTGAGGATAAGGGCACCATGGATCTTAATGATTGCTCCATCACAGATGCGCCAGTGAAAGGGTGAATCATAGTATATCCCAGCTTTCAAATTCAGTATGACATCAGATTGCTGATGTAAATGTGCTTTTATTGTTATATAATCTTGCAATTCTGCGAGAGTGACGGCCATAACATTTAACACTCTTTAAACTATTAAAAATGAAGAGAAAATGGAAATGACTTGAAACTTTCCAGAAATGTGAAATACTGTCATATAATTTATAAGTATAAATAATTAATAACAACCATGTATATTATGTTGAAAAAATGTCTTAAAACATTATCAAAGTTCTCAATTATGGATATACAATACAATTTTACACAAAATGACTGTAAATCAAAATACTTTTATACAACCCTTAAAACTTTAAAACCATACTGTGGTGTCATAAAATTATTTTTTTTTAATAACTTTTTTGATTAAATGTATTTTTAAATAGTTAAAAAAAAATTTATGGAGTTTAGTATGTGTTTTTATAACTTTTTTGCTTTTTTTTTTTATTCCTCTTTTTGGCGCAATTGCTCATATATAAACCAATCAATCACTCATATTTATTGACAGGCTTGAGGCCCAATATAATAAATATACAATGGGTAGAATAAAGTGGATATAAAAAATAGCATACTTGAATATAAACAAAACCCAGGGAAAAATAAGAAAAAATAAAGTGTTATAAATATAACTCAGCTCTCCATTTAATCAACAATGGAAACTGCAAGAACCTGTCAGAGTTAACAAAAGCTTTTATGATGAGGTTTTCACTCTTCTGCAGCATTAACAATGAAGACCTTTGTTGCTTATAGAGCTTTGTTACTTTTTGAGCAAAGCAATTGGACAATAATTAGCAGAATTGGAGATGTCACTATTCTTATCTTTAACCACATGAGAAATAACAGAGTGCGAAGCACCAATAGGCATGTGTCTATGGCAAAGCATGGAGGAAAAACACAATGATAAAATATTAAAGTAATTTGGGCTAGCATAGAGATAATGCTTTAACTGAAGTCCAAAATGGTCAGCTGCTTTTCCACAGGTCATATGATTTATGATAGATTGAACTTCATCAGGAGTGACAAGATAGGCATTATCTTTAAGCAGATTACAGTGTTTAACTATAAAGGTGTCATTTATATTGCATGTTGACTTGACTGAGTTAAACAGGGTGCAATAGTTATTATACCACATGCGACATACATTATCAGAACTTGATGCAGAGTCAATAGAAGGCGAAAGACTACATTTATTGTTGCGAATACAAGTCACAGTAGATCAGAAACTAGTATAGTTTTTATTTGCTAAACTGTTTGCTAGCTTTTCTGCTTTTATAGCATCTTCTTTTTTTTTGCAGCAACGAATGGCATATTTATATAAGGCTCTTGCATTTTTAAAAAGATTAAAGATCGGACCAAATTTTGGTTTATAATAGCTATGACACTATAGCTATATTATAGACAGAATGCATCTTTAGCAGCCTTGTGGCATCTTTTACATTATCCGTCCAACCTGGCAGAGGTTGTTTTTTTATAGAAACTTGATTAAGAATGGTAAGACACTGAGGCAAAGATTGAGTAAGACATTCATTCAGTATATTGTACAGGTAGTTAATCTGCTTAACATGCTAAAGCCAGTTACAATATACACTATTATAGTTAATTACTTCAAACTGATCCATGTTAATTGAAGACACTAAGTTAAACACAATGGAAGTATACTTCTTTATCATAGTGGTTGGCAGAGCATTTAAATTTATTTTAGGAGATCTTGTCAAAGTAGGGTGAGCAGTAGAGGAGCAAGATATATAAATTTTAAACAAGATATCAAACGCTAGAGGTAAATGATCAGAACTAGTTGACTGAATTATTTCGAAGTTATTAACATAGCATAGAGAACTTTGGGAGACAAGACAGTGATTGATTCAAGAAGAGGTGCCCCATGCTTCACTAACAAAGATAAAGGAATCATGTGGAAGACAGATATCAGCTGTAAAAAGATGTTTGTCAGTACAAAAATTAACTAGGAGACTACTTCATGGAGACCGAAATTGTGGATCACAATAAAAGTCACCAGTAATAACAAATTTACCATTTAAATCTGAAATAAGAAATGAAAGACTACCAAGGCATTCAGGATACTTATTAACATTCTCATATGAATTACAAAGCAAATAGATATTGATAATTGTGAACTTATCAGAAATGTTATTTACAAGTTGGATAGCAACAGACCATGAATTATCAGTAGTAACTACTAGAGCTCTGCAGAAGACAGAATCACAGCACAAGATAGCAACACCATTAAATGGTCTGCCACAAACAAAACCTGCTGAAGAATCAGTTGGAGACACTCCAAAGCCAAAAAAACCAGGTACAATGTTGTTCAAGAAACTAAGTTCAATGTTAAATAACCAAATTTCTTGGAGACAGATGATATCATATGTTGCAGACAAGAGTAGTAATTCATGTGTAGAACTTTGTACACCACGACAATTAAAGCTACAAATTCTTACTGCCATTTTCAAAGAAACGATGCACAAGGGCATTTTCTGGCCAATTGCTACCATCGTAGAGCCTGACAGAATCTCTAGCAGAGACTGATGCTTTAAAGGAAGAGTGATATTTACTTGTAACAATTTTGAGACAAGTGGCTTTAGTTTTAAATATTTTGTTGACAAATTCAGCTGTTTCTTCAACAGAGACAGTTGGTGATAAACAAAAAACAAGTAGACAAGTAGTTTCAAAGCAATCATACGAATGAAGTGGTTTTAACGAAGATAAAGTGTTTGAAATTTTTCCAGATCTAATAGCATTTTTTGCTTTTGCTTTTTCTTCAGATAAGTAACAGTTTGGAAATCAATAGGATCCAATACTAGTTGAGAAGTCTTATTAGATAAAGGATGACAAGATAAGTGAAAAACATTACCATAATTATTATTATGATTAGCAAATAAGTGTGCATCAGTAATTTAATCATTTGATATTGAATTTAATTCAATTTTATCAGTTCAAAAAGGGTTGCAAGTGCTATTTCAATTTTTTTGTCAGTAAAGAAGCGAGAAACAATCTTAACCATAACTTCAAAGGGCAAAACATCATCTTTGTTGAAAACATCATCTTTGTTGAAAACATCATCTTTGTTGAAAACATCATCTTTGTTGAAAACATCATCTTTGTTGAAAACATCATCTTTGTTGAAAACATCATCTTTGTTGAAAACATAGCATAAATGCTCATTAACAATCGCAAAGTCTTTGCATAACAATGTATCAGTAAGACTATTACAAGCTTTGAAATATGTGTATATATATATATATATATATATATATCAGTGTTTCTTACCCGGGTATTACATTACCCGGGTAATTAGCTAATTTTTTCTTACCCATTACCCAGGTAATTTCTTTCAAATTACCTGGGTAATGGGTAACTTAAAGCAATTATCATTTTTATCAATTTTTCAAAAAATATTTATGAAATTAAACTTTTCTGATCAATCTTCGAAAGTGGACATCATATTATCAATATTATAAACATCATTATATTTAGTACTCGGTGTAGTTAAGGCAATTTAAAAATGTTATCCTGTCTGTACAATGTTTTACTGACCAACGCCTTATTCCAGTAAATGATATTTTCTTTAAATTGTAATAGAAGTTAAATTAAAACAATCAATGACCTCTTTAAAACCGTAAATCTAGAATTTATATAACTGAGCACATGGTTCAAAGCTAACAAATAGTCATTAAATTCAAAAAAAAACTAAATATAACTTGTTTTACTCCAACCAAAAAAAAAATCTCTTCAATCAAATTTACCAATTATTAGTATAGACAAAACAATTATTGAAAGAACTCAATCATCTAAATTTCTTGGTGTGCTTATTGGCGAGAAGTTATCATGGGGCTCTCACATAAATGCCATTAATACGACTATCTCTAAGAACACTGCCCTACTCTATAAACCAAGACCTTTTCTATTATTCAAAAATTTAAAACTCCTTTATTTTTCCTTTATACACAGCTATCTATCATATGCCAATATAGCATGGGGAAGTATGCATTACTAAATTAAGTTCTCTCTATAGATGGCAGAAACACGCCTTTAAAATTATATTTTATAAAAACAAGCTTACTTATGCAAACCCATTACTAAAACAAATGAACTCTTTTAACATCTACAAAATCAATATGTATCAAAATATGTTCAAACATAAAATTTTATGTTTATGTTCAAACATAAAATTGTAATAGTACCAAGTTGATTTATAAATAACTTTTTTAAAACTAATATAAATATATTTAGCACTAGAGCAACTGGAAACTATATAGTAACCTTGAAAAAAAGAAAATTATCCTGATTCTCTATAAAATATTATGGTCCTTACCAGTATAACGAATTAATTTCAAAAAATACCTCACTACCTCCTTCAAAAAATTTAAACTTCTTAAAAGCTAATCTAAAAAACTCATTTTAGATACAAACAATTATATGGAAATATTTTAATACCTTATGATTAATTAAAAGTAAAAAATATGCTAAACAAAAATTCAAAAACTTTAAAATATAAGCAAGTATGTGTACGCAAGTATAGCTTATGTATATGTTATGCTTTATAACTTGATTAGCTGTATTGAAAAATATAAGTCATGAATAAAATAATTATGAGTATCTTATGAAATTAATAATATATAAGTTCTTTGTGGCAAGACTTCACTCATTTTTTTATGAGTTCCCCTTGACTACCTGACTAACAGTTTCTCTAATACTCACCTTATTTTTCAAATTATAAGTTATAATATTATTTTACATTACTATATTACTTTGTACAATAAACAACAATCTTAATATTATCTTAACTATATAAGAAGTATCTTTGAATTTGTATGTATTTAAAGTAGCATATATTGTTAAAACTTGTAAAAAACTATGCAATTGAAAAAAACAATATACGTTTTTGAAGGAGGAATTTCTGAGTGAAAAAATATTTATAAATATTTATTTATTAGATCTTTTTTTAATGCATAATAATTATTGACAAAATTCGTACTTGCATAAAATATTTGGTATAATTTTTTATAAAAATATTTCTTGTGAAAAAACGCAGACCAAAAGTTATTTTGTTTTTTTATTACATCTCTTAAACTCAAAAAAAATTAAGTCTAAAGCTTTTTTTTGGACATAATATGTTTACAAAATCATTAATTTTTTTGGACATAATATGTTTACAAAATCATGAGAATTCTAATTTAAAGTAATCGAATAATTTATAAATTTAAAAAAAAATTTAAAAAAAAAAGAAAAATCAAGGTATATACAATAATCAAGTTATATACAAAAATCAAGCTATATACAAAACTCAAGCTATATACAAGAATCATGCTCTAAATGTTTAGAGTATCTATCTATCTATATATATATATATATATATATATATATATATATATATATATATATATATATATATATATATATATATATATATATATATATATATATATATATATATATATATATATATATGTATATATATATATATATATATATATATATATATATATATATATATATATATATATATATGCTGAATTGCTTATATATATGTATATATGTGTATATATATATATATGTGTATATATGTATATATATATATATGTGTATATATGTGTATATATATGTGTATATGTGTATATATATGTGTATATATGTGTATATATGTGTATATATATGTGTATATATGTGTATATATATGTGTATATGTGTATATATATGTGTATATGTGTATATATATATATATGTGTATATATGTGTATATATATATATATATGTATATATATGCTGAATTGCTTATATATATATATATGCTGAATAGCTGAATTGTTTGCTAAGAACTTTTCATCAATATCATCTCTTGATTCCACTAGTTGCGTTTTACCTGACATAGCCGTCAAACAGGTTGATCCCTTGCTTGACATTCGCATCACTTCAGCTTCTGTATCTAAAGTAATTTCCTGCTTAGACTCTTCAACAGCTTGTGGTCCTGACAACATTCCTGTTGTAGTTTTGCAGAGGTGTTCTCCGGAGCTTTCATCCATACTTTCTAAACTATTTAACAAGTGCTTATCAGAGTCTTGTTTTCCATCATGCTGGAAAGCAGCATCTGTTATCCCTATTTTCAAAAATTCCGGAGAGCGATCTGATTCATCTAACTACCGTCCCATTAGTCTTCTTCCTGTCTTAAGCAAGGTTTTTGAATCTTTAATCAACAAACACTTAATCTCTCATCTTGAATCAAATAACTTACTTTCTGATCATCAATATGGATTTCGGTCTTCTCGTTCTACAGCTGATGTGCTAACAGTAATAACCGATAGGTTTTACCGTGCATTAGATAGAGGTGGAGAGGTTAAGGCTATCGCACTTGACATTTCTAAAGCTTTTGATAAAGTTTGGCATGCTGGTCTTCTCCATAAGCTTTCTTCTTATGGTGTAGCTGGTAACGTCTTTAAGATTATTGAGTCCTTTCTTTCCAATCGTAGTATAAAAGTTGTCCTCGATGGACAACACTCTTCTTCACATCCTGTAACTTCAGGGGTTCCTCAAGGTTCAATCCTTGGCCCTATACTCTTTTTAATTTACATTAACGATCTTCCAGATATTCTCACATCTAAGGTGGCATTATTCGCTGACGACACTACCATTTACTCTTGTCGTGATAAGAAACCTACACTCTCTGATTGCTTGGAGGGGGTATCTGAGCTTGAAAAGGATCTCACTTCTGCTACAGCATGGGGCTCACAGTGGCTGGTGAACTTTAATTCAGATAAAACTCAATTTTATTCGGCCAATCGTTATCGTAATAATTTAGATCTTCCTATATTTATGAATGGTAATGTACTAGATGAGTCATCTACCATTCATCTTCTAGGATTAACTCTTACTTCTGATCTTTCTTTTAAACCGTATATCAAATCCATTGCAAAATTAGCATCTGCTAAGGTTGCATCTCTTTATCGAGCTCGACACTTTCTTACTCCAGATTCTATTCTCTATCTCTATAAATCTCAAATCCGTCCCTGTATGGAATACTGTTGCCACATCTGGGGCGGATCTTCTAATGATGCTCTTTCTCTTTTAGACAAGGTGCAAAAACGAATTGTAAACATAGTTGGACCTGCTCTGGCAGCCAATCTCCAACCTTTGTCACATCGTCGTAATGTTGCTTCTCTTTCTCTTTTCTACAAATACTATAATGGGCACTGCTCTAAAGAGCTAGCGTCCCTTGTGCCATCTACTAAAATTCATTCTCGTGTTACTCGCCATTCAATTAAGTCTCATCCTTTTTCTGTGACTGTTCCTAAGTGCTTCAAAAACTCTTATTCTTCTAGTTTTTTTCCTCGAACATCAGTTCTTTGGAATTCGCTTCCTTCATCTTGCTTTCCTGATTCATATAATTTGCAATCTTTTAAGTCATCAGTCAATCGTTATCTTGCTCTACAGATTTAGTCTTTTCTCTTCCAGTAACTTCCAACTCTTATAGTGGTTGCTTGCAGCCTTGTTGGAAGTGAAGATGTTAAAAAAAAAAAAAAAAAAAAAAGTATATATATATATATATATATATATATATATATATATATATATATATATATATATATATATATATATATATATATATATATATATATCCTTCCTGATGAACCTACTGATGGTGAAACATGCTGTTGAAGAGCACAAAAGTTAGATAAGTGTTTTTATTAAGTTATATTTATGTTTGTTTTTATTAAATTATATGTATGTATGTATGTATGTATGTATTTCTAACTTAGTGTATAAATAGATATGAAAGTATTTTTTGTGAACCATGATTGGTGTTTACATTTAAAAAGATCTCTTTGAATTTGTTAAATTAATTGTTTTTTCTTTATAACAAAAATAACTATTAGACATATTATTTATTGAGATTGATGTAAATGTGATTTATCATAATTACATCAATCTCAATAAATATTATGTCACATAATTTATATGTGATTTATCACAATTTTTCTATTAGGAGTTCAGTCATGTTAAAATTACTTTTCTTAATATTATTTATAATTTGTTTTTAGACATACCTTGCATTTAATAACCAAGATTTTAGACAGTTAGTATGCAATAATAAATCCAAAATAACATTTGTGAATTGGGTAAGAAGAAAATTATCTGTTAATATTTATTTTTGAGTTTTATTATTATTGTTATTGTTATTTTTTTAAATATTGTCTTCAAACCTCCTACTTTTTTCATTTACTTTTTACTTTTATTTAAACTTTGTTCATTTTAAACCTTTTTTATTTATTTTTTATTTTGAAAAAAATATTCGATAGCTGTTTAATAGTTCAGTTAAATACACTATGTAACAGTTTTTTTTCTTGGCTTTAGATTGTTATTACTCAACTCCTAAAGCCCAAAATTTAATTCATCCCATATATATATATATATATATATATATATATATATATATATATATATATATATATATATATATATATATATATATATATGACTACGCTCATAAAAAAAATTGCAATGACTTTGCGAACAGTTATCCAAAAAAAAATTTTTTATCATAAAAGTTTAAAAAAGTTAAGAGCATAATAAAAGTAAAAAAAAAAAGAGTTAAAAGTAAATGCAATTAAAAAGTTTGAATATATTTTGAATTTTAAGTCATTAATTGATATTAATTTAATAATTTAAAGCATCATTTAACACGTTAACCATCATCGCTAAAGTTTTTTAATTATTTTTTTATAACTAATTTTCTTTGTTTGGTCCCTATCAGAAATTATTGGCTGTCAGCATTTCTGTTTTTGTATATATGTTTTTCAGTCATAAAATTCCCCCTGCATAAAGAGTTCACAAAATTATTTTTTACAGGTACATTGCAGTGCAAGTCAACTAAAAAAAAAATGCAAATCAACAATTGTTTTTAGTACTCAACATTTAGTTAAAAATTATCAAGATTCTTTATGTTAAAGTAATAATATACTTTGGAAAAATATAGAAATATTGTCTAAGGAGCTTTCATTAATTTTGAATGGTTGAACTTGTTGTAGTAACCTAATAGCTATGTTGCAGCACTTTTATAAAGTTAGTAATTCAAAAAAGTCTAATAGATATAGAGTCCACTACCACATAGGATGGAAGAAATAATGGCTTCTTATCAAACATAATATCAGCATATTGACTTATATGATGTTTCTTACTAGCATAAATGATGTTTCTTACTAGCATATTTTCTAAACAATACATTATAAATTAATTGATTTATTTTTTAATGAGATTTCTGTACTAAATCAGTAAATGTTATTCTTCCATTAACTTCTAACTCTAATAGTGGTTGCTTGCAGCTTAGTTGGAAGCCAAAATAAAAAAATTAAAAAAATCAGTATAATGTTATTTTTATTTTGTGACAGTAATGTTGCAAACTATAAATAATAAAACATATTTTTATATATAAAATTTTTGTACTTTTTATTAATAATATATAATTTCAGAATAGTTTTAAAAGTATGCATTAGTAATTTACAAGTCATTTAGTGCAGAGTTTTGTTTTTTTACTGGTTACCAGTAAAAAAATAAAACTGGTTACCAGTAATGAAAAAAAATCAGTAGTTTTGCAATTTTACTATCATATTTTGAATCTTATTTCAAAAAACCCTATCAACAAAAGCACAGTTTTTATGCTAAACTCACTTTTTCAAAAAAAGAATTTTAACAAAGTAAGCTTTTTTAAACATCTTGCTAATAATATTTTTTATTTATTTAACACTTATTATTTATAGTATAGTATTTCTTTTATTTTCTTTTAGGAAAAAGATGGAAACATTTTTCTAAGTTCACCAATGTTAAGTGATAAGGTACATAAGTATAAGTAGATAAAGTACTTTTACATTTATTTAGTTGGTTGAGTTAGCTAAACAAACTAATTTGATTAGTTAATTAATTAAATTAACTAATTTAATTGGTTAAACAATTAAATTAAGTAATTTGATTGGTTAATTATTGAAGTTACGTAATTTGATTGGTTAAATTAGTTTACTAAACTGGTTTTAAATAGGTTGAAGCTTTTTATTTTCATATCAAACTTTATTTATAATTTTATCAGATTAGACTGTTTTATTTTTAAAAATTACAACTTTTGTTTTTAGGATTTTAATACCGTCATAGGTAATTACAAACAAACTGTGTTACATCCACAAAGTAATCAAGCCTTTACAGCTACTGACAATGGAAGTATTATTGTTTGGTCTCAGCTCAAAAATGGTCAATGGAAAGCATTGAAAGTTGTTAACATTCAAAAGGATGCAATAACAACATTAGTTTTATGGAACAGTAGTTTTCTAGTAACTGGTGATGTAACAGGAAAAGTTAAATTTTATGATACCCAATTAAAGTTCAAAACCTGGTAAATATTTTTTTTAATTTTTTTGATTTTTTAATGAGTTTCCAATGTTATATAAATGTCTGTAAATAAAATTTATCAATTATTCGTTAAGTATCAACCATAAGTTTTCTTTTCAATTTTCTTATCTCTGGTAATGTACAATTGTTAAACTGGGCATGTTTTAATAAGTATCTTGTGCTAGCTAAATTTTGTTAAAACCAACCCTGGTTAAATAGTTGAATTGGTAGGGGTTACTAGCCAATGCTAAATTATTTTTTAGTTTCTTAGGTTTTAACACTGTTTAACTGTTTTGAATTTGAATACAGAATATATTTTAATTATTATTAATGATTTAATATATCAAGCAATATTAAGAATAAGTATTTATACACAATTAGTCTCAAAATCATGAAATATGTTTATAGAAATGTTGCAAGAGAAAAAAAAAAATTTTAATTTTTAAATTATTATTATTTCTCCACTTTATTTTTATATTATTTATGTTTTTTAAGAATTTTTTACCACTTGTGTAAATCATCTAAAGCTAGTTAAAATTGCATAATTTATTATCTACAATTTATTATCTACCATCTTATTTAGGATAACTTATAAAAAAGTATAGAATAAGCTCTAATAAGTAATAAGAAAATTCGATTTAAATTAATAGTAGTAATTCTTTATAGCAACTGTTTTATGAATTTTTTGTTTTTTTGTTTTTTATCAATTCTGCTGTTTTATCAATTTATTATAAAATTACAAGCCAGATTTTTTTTCTTTATAAAGGTTTGAAAACTTTGGAATTGAAGGCTCAATCATCGGAATCTCTTTTACATCAGAATCAGATAAAAATACTTCAATATCTAGTTATAAAAATTTGGCTGAGGTTGAGTCTTCTTTTACAGTAGCAGATTTTGTGATTACTACGGACAAATCAAGTTACCTTTATTTTAAACCTGAGGATAATGAGGTTTTGGTAAGGCTTTTAAATATACTTTCAATTAAGTCAAACAGTTTGAACAACAACTGAATTTAATTTTTGATTTTTAAGTAAAGTTTTTAGAAAAAAAATTAAGCACCAAGCTTTTTGTTTGTCAAAATTTGATATTAAATAAACAAACAACATTTTTTATAGTTTATAGCAATATACTTATTTCTATTTTTTTATTTTTTATTTATTTGACTAATACAATTTTTTTTTCAGTTTTTGAGAAAAGAAAGTGATAAAGAAATCAAAACTATTGCATGCCATTTTAAAGAGTAGGTATTTATACATATTTATGTATACAAAAGTGTAGGTATTTATATAAACATATATATATAGACCTCAGAGCCAAAAGGCATTGAGTCCCATTTCTATCTAACCGAGACAGCTGTTTAAAAGCTTTTTAATACCAAATGGCTCTTTTGGTTATTAGACTAAGACTAACTTTTGGTTATTAGACTTTGAACTCTTGTTAAATGCCTTTAACTAAAAAACACTCTCTAGGCAGTGGCTTACTAATAAGTAGTAAGCCACTGCTTAGAGAGTGTTTTTTGTTTTTTCAAATCACAAAAAGCCATCCTCGTTTTGTGCATTGCAATTATAATAACACAATCACTATTATTTTTCTTTTAGTTTGTTTTAGGAAACTAAATAATCACATTTATTGACTTTTTTTTTGCAGTCATTTTGATAGGTTTTGTTGCCTAGTTATTATTAAGGTGTATATTTGTTTTTTAGATTTTTAAATAATTAAGAATTTAATTAAAATTTGAATAAAATTCATTTATTGTACATAATTAATTTTTTTATGTAGTAGCAAAAAATTTTAGATATTTCTTTTCAAAATTATAATTTTAACATTTGTATTATTCTCTCTTTGACTTCGATTTTTGTCAAAATAAACTTGTATTTTTTCTCTTGTCTGTAAACCTGTCAAGATGCCTTTGAGGTTAGTTTTACTGCTATATGCACAGGTTGAGAACTGTTAAGCGTTTCAGTTAAATAAAGTTTTAAGTTTGATTTCAAAATCGCTCTGTGATTTTTTAAAGTTATGGAAAGAGGGAGCTCAACCTAAATATCATCAACAAAAACAAGATAATCCATGACTTAAAAAGTAAGTTGTTGATGAGGGAAACCGCTTAATTGTTGCACGAATCAACATGTCAACTTTGTACATCATTCGAAATGGAGCAGTAGCTATGACTTAAGTATCTGCTGTAGGTATGACAGTGACAACAGTTTTAACAGACGGCCAATTGACATGAGCAACTTCAACAAATGCAAACACTTCATCTGCAACAGCTCGAGCAAGTCAAGAAATCACAAATGCAAATAACTACAGCGTAAGCCATTCTATTCAGCAACATCATTTTTAAAATTCTAGTATACCAACGCTCCAACCTTAACAACAAAAGACACCAATATGAAGCTCAAAAACAGGTGGATAATCGGGACATAATTATGATAATCCATACATGGTCTAGGGAGTCATCAATAATAAATTTATCTTTGTAAGAGAAAATACAATAAATCATATGCCTACAGGAAAGGTAATTACACAAGAATGAATGCAGCACTAGAACGTTTTGACTGGGATAAAAGAGTTTTGACTGGGATAAGGAGTTTTCAGGAAAATCAGCATATGAGTGTTATGCTAATCTTCTTAAAAAAATATGTCAGCATGTGTCAGCAATTTATTTTGCTCAAACAAAACAAAATAAAAAGTACCATCCACATATATCGGCTGAAGTTAGACGACTAATGTCTTAAAAAGACACAGTAGAGTTGTCTAAGAGCAAATAATCATAAAAATATTGAATTATGAAATGAATACAAAAGACAAAAAAGAATGTAAAAAAAGTCATTAGAAATTAGCGAGCGAGTACGAAAAACAATTGTTGACAAGATGAAGTTAGATCCTCAGATATTCTATTCGTATGCGAAAAGACACTCAAAATTGAAACACAAATTACCAATGTTGAGAGACAATACAAGTGCAATAATCTTCAAAAAGGAAACAATCATCAATTGTCTAAATGAAAGTTTTCAATCTGTATTCCTGTCTGAGTGAGATACAGTTCTTTAGAAATTTGATAAAATTTGATATAAATTTGATAAATGAAGATATAAATTTGATAAATAAAGGCACTAACTGGGACTGGAGGATTGCCTTAAATTGCAAGAATGTAAAAAAAAAAACTAGAATAAGTGGACAAAAACAAAGCAATATGGCAAGTCCATATATACTTAAGCAATATGCATCAACACTCTCAAAATCTCTAGCAATCATATTCAGCCTTGCAGTTAAATCAGGCACAATACCAAATAGTATTGTTCCTGATATATAGTTGGAATGAGGTAAACATAACCCAGAGTATACCTCAATTTCAGCAAGGCCTTTGACAAGTTACTACACAAAAGGCTATTACTCAAGTGTGAAGCATACGGGATATTCAGTATTTTATTGATAGAGGTTTTTAACCCATGGTAGGCAATGCGTTGTAATGAGAATTTACTGGTATTCAACCATCATTGTGGTTGAATACCAGTATATTCCTCAGGGATCTGTTCTTAGGCCTCTTTTTTTTGATATTCATCAACAACATACCACAAACACTCCAATGCATATCCAAACTTTACGCTGACAACAGCAAGCTGATGAAACCAATAAAAAACATTCAGGATATGATCAAAGGATATGTAAAAGAATATCATCAAGTTAGTCGAATGGACAAGTATATGGTTAGTAGAGTTAAACAAAGAGAAGTGCAAGATTTGCACATTGGTAAAAAGAACCCTCAGACCATCTATACAATGACAGAAAATCATGTTGAATACAAACTAGGCAAAACAACAGCAGAACATGACCTCAGCGTGTTGATCTCATCAGACATCACATGGCATCGTCAAATTAATACAGCAGCAGTAAAAGTGCAGAATGTACTCATAGTCAAGCGTACCTTCATTTATCTAAATATAGAAATGATACATACTCTGTACACAGTGCTAGTTAGACTTCATATGAATTTTCAATCCCTGTATGGAATCCTACTTTGAAAGGTGACATTGAAATACTAGAAAAGGTCCAACGTTGCACAACCAAACTGGAACAAAATCTCAAACATCTATGTTACAAGCAACAACTATTCAAAATGAAATTGACTACGTTGGAGACTAGGCGTTTGCACAATGATTTATTACAAGAGTACAAATCATTGAACAATATAGATCACATTACATAGCTTAAACCACAACAATTTGCACTATCATTACGAAGCAAACAGACCAGCATCAGCAGTAAGAGGTCATAATCTAAAAATTGAAAAAGAAAATGTCAAGCATTCTTTATCTTGACAAGTGTTCTTTAGTAACCATATTGCAAATAAATGGAATGCATTACCAATTTACATGGTAAATGTGCAGTCTTTAAACTCTTTTGAAACAAGACTAGATAGATTTTTGTTATAAATTTTGTGAGATTTATTCAACTCTAATTTTTTTTATATATAATTTTTAACAAATTGAAAATTAAATAAAATAGAGTAGTATAGGCTGTTGCATCGCATATATAACCATATATGTGTTTTGCAATTTAATTTGCTACAGCATCTATATTACTATTATTACAGACTTGACTTTATTTTACTATTATTACAGACTTGACTTTATGTGAGAAGTTCAAATTTTTAAATGGTTATCAGTTTTTTAAAAATTTGTTTTTGCTAGAATTTATTTAGAGGATGGGAATATTTTCCAAGGTTGACTCAGTCTTGACAGGGTGACTCAATCCTACTGTTGTGTATGTTCAACAAATTTTATCAAAATTTTATTTTTAATTAGTAAGTATGAGAATTTTAATAAGAAATCATAGAAATTGATTGTATTGTAAGTATAGTCAAAGTTTTGTACCGTATGGAATACCACTACTTATTATTGATATTTAGTATTACCTTCTGATTTTCTTATTGGTGAATATTATACAATACTGTGTTATACTTGAATAGAAAATCCAAGTCTTAAACAATTTAATATTACAAATGTAAAGCAAATAAAGT